CTTTAATTTGCATGTTTTTATTTTTGCCGAAAGAAAAAAAAACATTACTTAAAAAAATGTTATTAACGGAGGTGAAATTTCTTGCATAGCTAACGAAAAAGGGTGAAAATAACGAACAGTGATCGATGTCATAAAAACTTCACACAACACAAATCTGTGGACCGGGCCGGGCTTAAACACGGACCCCTGGAAATTCAAAAAGGGAACCAATAGGGGTTATTTACCATGGATGTCAGACTGCATGGTAAGTTAATATCGGACCTTTCAGTTAAAAGATACATTTTTTACATAAGTATTTAAAAAAAAATGATTAAAAAAGAGGTTATAACCTTTAAAAACTTTTAACTGGATGAATAATGTAAACTTAAGCATTGCAAAATGCTCTTAATAATATTTCAATTAATTCGATACAAAATAATTGCAAAATGAAGGATACAATCTGATTTGAATAGAAAGTTAACATTTTATAAAATAACAACGTACGCGAAAGTCTGTCCTATTGAAGACTTTCTTGTACTAATGTTTTCCACTTGAGTGAATCGCTGAGTTGAAATATATAACAGGAAGTAAGGACAGCACACTATACATTAATTCAACTTGACTAAAAAAGTCGTTTTCGTACATTTTAATACATATCAGAAACAAAATCATTCATTTAAATGCCCTAAGCTTAGCGATTGCACCGTATGGGTTTGCAGATGTTATGAAAATGTAAATGCAAACAAATGCAGTCTTTAATTTGTTGTTTTCAAATGTAAATGATATCATTGGCAAAGTATCATCTTCTATTAGTGATGCGTGCACCGCATTAAAACTTAAAGATGTCAAAATGAGTAAATTTCTTATTGGAATATTTGATAGTCTTCAATGAAGTACATTCTTTTTTAAAAATGGTGTATATAATATTCATTGTAACCAACCACTTATTTACATCCATGTACAAATGTTAGAATACATATAATACATTGTTCAAGTTATTTCAAGCATGCTAAAAAGAAAATTATCATGTTTTAAATATTTTTCCAGAGGTCCATGTTTTATGCTCTGTTCAAGATTTGTATTGTTTGTATTTTTTTTTTTTTTAAAAATCTACCATGTTTGTTATCCCTTTTCATAAAAATGAAAGTGAAGTTATATAAACTTTTTGCATTGGATAAACAGCTTAAATGGATGTACAATTTACATGTATATACATGTATTTCTTTCTCTGTATGTAAGAAATTAAAATGAACGTCCATCACCGATGTGAATATTCATACACACTAGATAAAATTGCTAACGCAATACCACAGAAAATTAATATTTTACTTTTTAAAACTTTTTTATGAAGTGATTGATATATAATTATGTAACTTCAGTGAAAAATCATTGATGAATAATTACAATGTAAACTGAAGCGTAACCATTTCCTACTTTTTTGTAGGAATAAATTTCTAGTTTTTTCTTTGTGTTTGTGTTTTTTATGTTTGTACTATTTAAATACTCAGAAAAAAATCCACAATATGCAGTGTTTGACCCTAGAAGAACGCGCTAAAGCAATTAGTATAGTGTCTACAGGGGTTCTTTTGGAGAAATTTGTAAAAAAAAAAATAGCAATAAAAAGATTATGCAATCCACATGCACATTGTTGAAAATGGATTAACAAACATAAAAAAGTTTAGATAGCCACGACATTAAGTAAGCACCACACAACAATTTCGAGATTGTTCCATAAAACTGGGGCAACAGGAAGTTGGGTGGACTTGGTTTGGACACCAAGGCACTGGATGAAAACTAAGCGAATGACAGTCAATCTCTATATATTATTTGATTTTGTACAGGGAGGCTGCTTCTGGTGCAACCTCTCGGATCACTGGTCATCAATAATCACCAACCTCATATCTGGGCAAAAACGGTGCGCAGTGCACGTCGGGAAATTGATTTTTGGGCAATAAAGGTTATTTTAGGGTCCTGTTATGACACCAAGACATTTGTGCACCGTATTGGAAAAGATGACATATTAGATATACGTACCAATTAGGCAAATGTTCTTTTAACAAACAAGAATGACAAGTGATGCGTTAGCAATTTTGTGTAGTGTATATATACAAATATCACACAGTCATTATAATCATTGTATATATATAATATTACATTATATACTCAAGTAGATTTTCAACTCTGAATGTGTCTTTAAATAATCTTCTTAACATAAAAATGTATAATGTTTATTTTTCGTATACTTGTAATTTATTTGTTCGACAATCATGGTCAACATTGTATGTATACGTATTTTACAAGGAAAAGATTAATGGAATTGAAAGAATTTGAATCAAATTCTTTTGTGTATATGATACAATAAAATATGTTCGAAAAAACAAACATCATGATTGGTTAGTGATCACTCACCAAATTTTTCAATTCAAATCAATATGCACTCAGTTTAATGTGGGAACATCAACCAATTAAAAACACCCATAGGTTACATGTAGCAGGTGAATTTGTTTATGCAGAAAAGACAATACCTTTAGGCATTCTATCCCTAAAAGCAACAGATTCAATGAAATTGAATACATAACAGATGTGTACGGGTTTGAATACTCAATATATTTAGACATAATTCCCATTTATAACCATTAGCATGTAAGGGTGGGATGTGTCCTAATTTTTGACCTTGTATTTTGGTAAGAGTTATCTCCCTCTGTTTTTAATTAATTAAAAAAATCAATTAAAAAAACTTATCTGATGAAAAAAAAATGTACTCATGCAATTCTCCTTCTATTTCAAATGTTTTAATGCATCTTTCCACCACAGTATTTATTAATATTTTTATCATTTGCATTAATTTTTTATTTTTAAATAAATCGCTTGTCCCCATAGACTTCAATGCAATCTTTGTGAATTAATTACTGCTTAGTTAATTACATTTTTGAAACTTTATCTTGTAAATCCTTTTCTTCTGTCAAATGCTTTATATTAATATCAGAGTATTATGTACGTGATGGACATTTAAGGATAGAGAATTTGGTCTTATTAGGGATGGAAAACCTTAAGCGGGCGTTTAAATTCTGACATAACTAAGGAACCAATATGCGGTAATACATCCTGGAAGTCAGACATTTAGGTAGGTTATATTAAATCTATCAAACAATGAAGTTTATTTTTCTTAATGAAATGATTATTTCTAATTTGATTAAAAGAAGGAAGATAAGCTAAATATGGTCAGTGTTGAAGAAAATAAAAACAGGTGAAAAATGTAAATTCAATCACAGCGAAATGTTCTTTCATATGTCAATTGATATCGATTCAGACTTATATATATATTCTTTTAAGAGAAGTGGACAGCCTGTCCAATTCTCTAAAGAGAATACAATATATATATAGAACGATACATCGCCTGAGTAGAATTGAAAGTTAACATTTATTAATAAACAGCAACCAAAGCAAAAATCTACAAAATGAATGACTTCTGTGACTTCTGTTGTCCACATAAAGGGTTAATCTACCTTAAGTTATGTTATAAAACCCCACAAATACATTAGAATTTGAAATGACTAAAAAGTCGTATTTTTGGTTAATACGTTTTACATTCTAGTACATATCACAAACAAAATCATGCATGCCCTAAGCTGGTGATTAGAGCGTGTATGGGTTTTCAGATGCAATGAAGAATGTAAATATCTTGGTTAAATACTAATATAACATATACGTTTTTTTCTGTTTGGTAAAGTAGATAATATTGTTGTCACAGTTTCGTCTTCTATTCATTTTGCATGTAACGTCTTAAAACGTCTAATTAATATTGGGTTCGTATTAAAACAAAATTAACAATACCCTAATCTTAACTATTATAGCATTGGTTTGAAGATGTTAATGAGGAATTAAATGTCTTGGTGCAATTCTAGCTGATATAGCGTCAGATTTTATTGTTCAGTTAAAAGCATTATATGCACAGTTTCACCTTTTCGTGAAGCATATTTTGCATTAATTAAAACACTGCATAAAGGGCAAAGTAAGGTAATAGCCGAATACGACCTCTTATTTGATACAAAAATTTAAACAGTATTAAATTAATATGTCTATAGTTTGCAATGAAGAACTTTAAATTCTGCTTTATTCAGTATTTTACAACCATTATTGATTATGATTCAAAGCTTCCTTGGAGGCAACAAGAGGATTACAAAGTAGGACATTTTAACGAATTTCTTCAATTCGTATAAAATTCAAATTTGAGATACATTATATTTACATGTATTTTATACCTTGAAAAAAAAAAACAAAGAGTAAAGCTAGCCTATCTGAAATACACAATGTGTATCTCATACTGTTGCATATGGTATATAAATTTGGATAGATAAGCTTGTGCTTTCTGTATTGAGACAATGTTGCTTTAGAATTGATGAAAATATGATTTTAAACGAGAAAATGTGGAAATTGACAGATTGTTGGACCTTCCTGTGTCCTGTGTGTATCATATCACGTAAATTCAATATACGTTTTGAAACAGGGATGACAACTGTTTCTTTTTAAATTAAGAACTATTAAACATTTCTAAGAGACACCCCAAACCAGGGGCCAAAAAGAGGTCCTAGCCTATCTTGCCCTTTATCTTTATGCAATAGAACCTGTTAACACTATCCCTTCCTTGGTCAATTCTGTTATGTCGTTCATAAATTAAAAATCAAAATTTGACAAAATCATCCTAATCAATTGGTACGCGCAATTATAAATAAGCGCATTTGGAGGTAAACTTTTCTTTGTATTTGTGTTAATTATTAATTAATTTGTTCTTGAATAAGGGGAACAAGATGCAGCGCGGAAGGTACTGAAATATGATCACCGCTAAATTAGTACAATTACAGTGTATATGCAATTCTATACTTATATAGAACAGTAATTACACCCACGCACAGAAGAGTTATTTTATTTGTTGGTATAAAAATAATCTCACAAGACCAACCTTATTTTCCGTTTTGTGCATTGTAGGTTTCTGAAATGAAGAAGCTTGGTCTCCAAACACTATTAGTGACATTCTCCCTAGCCACAGGAATGGCAAAGTTGCAATGCTCATCAGAGCCTTCTTGCAAATGTCTAATGGACAGTGACGGACTGTACGCAGACTGTTCCCATCAAAATCTCACTGAATCACCAATCTTTTCACCAGACGTCAAAATCGTCAACCTCAGTCACAATAAACTAAAGTGTTTGCCTTCAAGAGAACGCATTCCAGATGGATTGGTGCATTTAGACCTTTCATATAATTTTACATACACACTGTCAGGCGATTCTTTTCAGGGGCTCAGGAACCTAACTATACTTTTATTACAACATAATAAATTACGCAAACACAATCATACAGAAGGAATATTTGAAGATCTAAGGAACATTCAAATCCTGGATTTATCATACAACATAAATTTGACATCTAAAATCCTTAGAAGTCTTTCTTTTGACCTACAGAACACGTCAATCAGGATCCTTCTTCTGAATAAAATTCACTGTGCATTTGGAATGGGGACCAAAATTCTTGTAGAGGATGTTGAATTTTTAAATTATACAAAGTTAAAGGAATTACATTTAGATAGTAACAGAATAGAAATGTTTGAGAAAACCGCAATCTGCTATCTACCAAAGACCATTGAGTTCGTATCGGTATCTGACAATAAATTCTCGTTTGGAAAATACGTTTATGATGTTTTTTGCCTGAAAAAACTGCAGCTGATCAATATTAGTTCCGAGCATTCTGTTCATTTGTTAGATGAAATGTCTAATTGTGATGAAAATTCGAATGACCCAGTGCCATTTTGTGCCTCTGAGAAAAGTTCATGTCACGAAATATCAAGAGGTCGTGTCCATCTAAATTCAAATAATCTCGGCATAATTTCTAAATTCAAACGAAAAGAAAAAAGCGACATTTTGAAATCTTCAAGTGATGTCATGTCACCAAAAAGTTGTAAAAATTATGGATGATCCAATTAATTTTCATCCTGTGAACCATAATACCGGAAAAGTTGTCCCTGTACCAGAATCATTGCAGATTATATATGCGAATAGAAGTAATCTACGATTCAAAATATATGAAGTACGTTTTATTCTAAATAATATTACTCATGTCTATCTTCAGGACAATGCCTTTTATGTATGGGATGGTCCAGTTCATGGATTGGATTGCATAAATGTTGTCAATCTTTCAAATAATTTCTGCTCTTATGTCTCAGAACACTTTTTCCAATATGCAGGAAGTTCGACAGAGTTATACCTTAGAAACAATATCCTAGGCTTCAGCTTGGCAAGGGACATTGGAGGTTTAATATTCAGAAACCTGAATAAACTGGAAATTTTGGATTTACAAGAAAATAGAATTTCAACATTGCCAAAAGCTGCGTTTCAGGGTCTTATTTATTTAAAGTATTTAGATTTGAGCAACAATTTCCTCAAATCATGGGATATAGACACCACCCATATGAGATCTGTTAACTTTATAGATCTATCGGGCAATGAAATAACTTCTTTGTCTGGTGAATACATGAAAGATTTTGACAGGTTAGGAACAGCCAATACACTAACTCTGAACTTGTTGAAAAATTCTTTTATGTGTAATTGTAGAACAATCACCTTTATGAAATGGATGGCGGAAAGGAATAAAATCAAGAAAATAACATTTTTGAATTTTGAAGATTACAATTGCACTAAAAATACAGAACACGGTGGAGAAATCTTAAAATTTGATGAAATTGAGAGACATATTTTTGATTTACAAAGAGAATGCCGTTCATATACAGCAATTATTTTTGTAACCACAGGAACATTCGTTTGTTTCCTTATCATACTTTGTACTGGAATTGTCTATAGATATAGGTGGAAACTTCGCTATTTTTATTATATGACAAAAAGCCGTTACCATGAGTACAAATCCGTGCGAAGTGAAAACCTTCCCCTTAACCAGTATGATGCATTCGTTTCCTATGCTGATGAAGACAGAGTATTTGTTCTGAGATTGATTAAAGAGCTGGAAGAGGAGGCAGGCCTAAAATTATGTATTCATCAGCGTGATTTTGTACCAGGATTCGACATAGCTGAGAACATTATAACTGCTGTAAACAAAAGTAGAAAAACGATTATTCTCCTTTCCCCTAACTTCATCAAGTCCAGCTGGTGTATGTATGAGTTACATATTGCCAAGATGGAAGAAATTTACAGTAGGAATGAAGAAAATGTGATTTCCCTTATTCTCTATGAGACTATGCCTTTGCAGGATATTCCTCTTACCTTAATGGATCTAATCAACCAAAAGACATACATAGAGTTTCCAAATGATGATCAAGAGTTTGGCGAAGATGTGTTTTGGAGTACTCTAAAGGAATCTTTCCGATGATTCTTCTGAAGTCTTCTTCAACAACACTTAACCTAAAAAATCCATTGAAATTTCTTAGTTAGGAATAATTTTCAGGTGCAGAAATAATGTACATTGTGTTTCACAGAGTATTAGAGTATTCTTGTTATAGTTTTGTAAAAACAATCAGTTGAAAAACCTTTAATCGGGTCGCCCGCGTGGCGCAGTGGTTAGAGCGTTTGCTCTAGAGTCACGAAGTAAGGAGTTGATCCTTACGTCGAGGGTTCGAATCCCACTGTGGGACGTGGAGACCGGTCCTTCGGATGAGACCGTATAAACCGAGGTCCCGTGTCGCAGTAGGTGTTGGCACGAAAAAGATCCCTCACTGCTCAATGGTCGTAAGTACCGAGCATAGGACAAAATTTGCAGCTCTCCACCGGCAAGTGGTGGCGTCTCCATATGAGTGAAAAATTCTCGAGAGGGACGTTAAGCAACAAACAAAAAAAAAAAAAAAATGATAATCGGATAGAAATCACCCGATCATTTAATTACGTGTACAACAATTTCCCCTATTACCGGGTAGTTTCTGATGAATTTGCAAATTATCTATGACAAGGTACTACTACGATCAAATTCCTTAAGGTTGTGTAAAAAAATCATGTTTCCAAGTCTCAAGTAGCTATCCACTGATTTCCGTTGGCTAGGAAGACCTATATAATCGGAACGTAATTGATTATTTATGCTTCGTCTTATCACCGGGAACTACATGGAATCCCAGGATTCCTTTCATTTTTAAAAACTTATTTGGAAATTTTATTGAATCAATGTGAGAAAAGTTGCTACATGTAGGTTTAGACTGAAATTCAAGCATATTTGTATAATGTTCCAAAGAAAAAAAAATCTTTGTACGAATTTATGAGTTGTTTAACTTGTAGAGGACATACACACCAATAAAGTATAACAAACTGAAATTATTAATTGAAAATACTGCGCCGCTTTCGCTTAGAAACAAATACACGCGGACAAACTTCATTAAAATTAAAGTTGCAAATGTTTATTACAAGTATTAGGTTTTCAGACAGTCACCCTATTCCTAATTTATCTTTTTTTTCATTAATAGGGACATTATTCTTGTTGATTTTTGCTGTGTTATTCGTACATATGGCAAAATCATGTCAACTGATCTACTAAAATCTGTTTGAAAGTTGTGCATGCCATAGGAAATTAAAAAAATTAACCCATTTATAATTTTTTTTCGTTCTGATCCCCATTTCTAAAAGATTCAAAGCTTTTTGGAAATTTCTAAACCATCGAATCATCAGATAATATCAAACTAATATTTATACTTCCTAAAATTTGATATTCTGATATAACAGTGCTTGAATTAATTCAGCAAACGTACGGAAAGGTTCAGCCATGAAGAAATGCTAGTAATAGATATTAGGAATGACATAGCAACCCTCTGCTACTAGATAAAATCTACCGGTAATTATATATGCATCTGACAACAAGTTATCTTTGGGAATTTGAAGAAGTGCCGTTTATAATAAACTCGAATAATGTAAAACAGATTGATCTAATTTCCAACCAATAACGTTCTCTTTTTTTAAAAATAATGATGTTAATGAATTATTTTGATATCCACAAAAAAACCCTTTATGTCAATGGACCTCAATTGATAGGCTCCACATATTATAAACACACGAAAAGAAAGACATGTAAAGTTCTGAAATTTAAAAAAAACTGCAATCTTGCTTAGAAACAAATGAACAAAGAATAAACATCGTCAATCAGAATACCAGAAGAGGAAAAGTTCCACAGATGGACACCTAAGGAATCGTTTACTTAATATTTTATAGTAAGAACATTGTTCTGATACATTTCTTCAGTATTGTTAATTTTACCAAGTCAAACCTATCAACTGATCATCAAACCGGTGATTACTTGACAAGTACTTCCTTTTTCTTTGCAATTAAAGCATTTCTCTATACATTCTATGCAATGCATAATATTTCAACAAAAAAGTGTATTCAGTATGAGTTTACTTGTCTATCTTATAATTTATTTGCTTGCATAATAATTTTATGACCGTTAATATGGTGTACATTTTTTGATAATTTTTGTTTAGAATCTAGATGTTTGAAGCTAAACAAAGGTATGCTAAAACAATAACATGTTATAAAGCCAGAAAATCTTCCCAGTAGATTTGAGATGAATATTTGAATACACATATTACAAAAACCGCCCGCTGTATCACTATGTTGTGACAAGCAGTGACCTAGAAGTTATTTGTTCATGAAAGTTCACCTAGCTCCAACATTTGAAAGTTTACATTGATGTTTAGCAATCAAGTTCAAGAAATCTCTGTTTACAATGATAGACCAATGATCGATATTGAGAATATTCTTACTTTATGTTCCTTTATTATACCCGCATCTTCTAAAGAAAGCTCGGGTATATTGTTGTTACCCTAGTCCGTCCGTCTGTCACACGTTCTTCATTCTCAAACCCCTCTTTTCTAAAAACAGTAACCAATGATCTTTTGGAATATGATAGATGGTGTCCTGCAGATGTGCTATAAGGTTTCTGTAATTTTCAATTTTGCCCTTGGGATCCAATGAGGGGGGGGGGTGTCAAAAATGACGTTTTTCTACATAAACCTGGTTCCCAGAACTCAATCTCCTCTTAAATTTTATGCAGTAGACTAATCATCTTTAGAAAAATGATTGCTGTAGTCCTGTAGATGTGCAACAAGGTTTTAGAATGTTCAATTTCAACCTAGGGAATACATTGGGGTAAAAAAAAAACGATTTTTTATCTACAAAAAAATCCTTGATTCCCTGAATTCTTCTAACATTTTAAGCAGCACTTAAATCATCTTTTTGAAGATAAATGGTAGTGTACTCTAGATGGACAATAGTGTTTTGGAATTTTTACTTTAATCATAGGGGTCAAAGTCTTGTTCCCAGAACTCTCTTACACTATAATGAATGGTAGTGTACTCTAGATCTAGATGTGCAATTCCATTTTGGAATTTTCGTTTTCATCCTAGGGGTCAAACGGGGTCGAAAAATGACATTTACTCTACAAAAAACTTTTTCCTATAAAAAAAACCTGTTTCCCAGAATTCCTCTTACATTTTACGAAAAAGCCAAATTATCTTTTGAAAGATGATTGCTGGTGTCACTGAATAAAACTATGCCATTCAGTTAACTGAAAGATGACTGACAATTCACTGAAAGGTGACTGGATGGCAGAGTTCTGCGATTCAGTCATCTTTCAGACCTTTCATTGTCCTTCAGTTGACTGAATGGTGTAGGTAACTGGTTCATCCTGTGTGTCCTGTAGATATGTTTTAAGGTTTTGGAATTTTCATTTTCGCCTTAGGGGCTAAATGGGGTAAAAAATGCCAACATTATTTCTACAAAAACCCTGGTTCCCCCTGAACTCTTCTTACATTTTGAGCAGTCGCCAAATTATCTTTTGGAAGATAATGGCAGTGTACTCTAAATGAGCAATAATGTTTTGGGATTTGTATCTTCATCCATGGGGTTAAATTTGGTTGAAAAACGACCTTTTTTCTGCAACCCCCCTCCCCCAGGCTCCCGGAGGTGTTCTTACATTTTACGTATTAAATAGTCAAATCATCTTATGAAAGATGATTGCTGGTGTCCTGTAGATGTATTAAGTGCTAAGTGCATTGTGTCATGTGCATCACATCCTATATACTATTTACTTTAAGGGATGGAATCTGAAACATTTTTAGATATTTGTACAATTATTAAATGAGATGTGTTACATCTTGCCCAACAGTGCCTTTGAAGAGAACTGTGGGGCTCGGACAAAATATTAATACATGTATATTGATTCCTTGTGATATCGATAAGTACGTGTAAAATTTGGAAATATCACAAACAAAATTTCAGACTTGGTTTTTCTTCGTTTCTTAACATTGTGTGTTTAAAACATTTAAGTATAACAATAATTATGAAATACATAATAATTAAAACCACTTTTGTTAAAAGTTTTGTTTTACAACAGATAAAAGTCTTCTATGAATAAATCATTCTTATTTGTGAAGAAATAATTTGTTCATTTCACTATAAAAAGAAGATTTTGTTACTAATTCAAAATATCCTGAAAGGTATCGTATCGTGACACAAGTATCTTAAAACATATCAATATAGAAATTGTACCATCCCAGCCATATACTCCACTGGTGTGTACTTATGATAAAGATGTATCTTTGTAAAATTAGTGTTGTTAAAAGAATTTTAAAAAGAATTTCTATTTCAGTAACGATGGCAACATATTTTGTTGGAAACCATAAACCGATACAAAAATTATGTATCTTAGTATAGTCTATTTGAACAACAAGACTTATTAAAATCAGACCAAAACTACTTGTTATACTGAAATCAGACAAAAGCTGCAAGAGGAGTGGCAATTCGAAAAAAAAATCAAAATGCTCTCAATTTTAAGTAACCATTGAAATACTGTTCATTGAAATTAAAGAACGATAAACGATATTATGTATCTTAGTATGGTGTACTTGTGCACAAATTGTATTAAAATTGCACCAAAAATGTTTGAGGAATAGCATATTTAACCTACTTTTAGTAACTATGGCAACATCATTTGTCGAAATCAAAAAACCGATAAACACTGAGTTATGTATATTAGTATAGGTTGATTGTGCACCAAGTCATTGGATTTGAACCAAAACTATAGGAGGATTAGCGGTTTGAATGAGATTCACCAAAATATCTTTTTTAGTAACCATGGCAACAATGTTCAAGGAAATTAAAAACCAGGGATCAAACAGAGGTCTAAGCCTATCTTGTTCTTCATCTTCATGCAATAGAACCTGTAAACCCTCTCCTACCTTAGTCCATACCGTAAAGGTGTACACAAATTAGCGCATTCTAAATTTAGCACAATCGTCCTAATCAACTTATAAGCGAAATTATGAATTAACGCATTTGCAGGTAAGCTAATATATATTTATTAGGGATGTCAACGAGTACCCGGTTAACCGGGTA